GTGGAGTTTCATGTTATTACGATGTATCAAGTTTGTATCAAATCGGATTCGAGTGTTATCGTGCGCACCAGCCAGGCAGATAGACGGACGAACGGACATCACTAGATCGACTATAAATGTCCTGAAACGGATTTGGTCCAGAGGGCCCTAGGGTCTAAAACCGTTACTTCGATGAGACACATTTTGGCCGCATCAAATCATATATACCCTCTGTAGCCATATGGCTGAGGGTATATAAAAATTTCCAAAAGGCCTTTTTTCTAAAAAAAAGTATTTTTATTTATTTCCGATATCAGTCTACTACCACCGTTACCTCTTTAAATGCTGCCACCTAATTCCCTTGAATCGAACCCATAAGAACAGGGAGGCATTGATTATAATTTACTTTATTGATTTGCTATTCATTACTAAAATTACTTTTTACCAATTTCATTTGACATTGAACTTAGTTCTTGGCTGTTGTTGGGTACTTAATAAATAATTCAGTTTTTTTTCCTCCCTCTATCTTCTTATCTGTAATTTCAATGACAGTCTAAATTTCAATTTAGTAGTTGATTGTTGGCTATTTATTTGATTGGAATTATAAAAAATGTATATATATGACTGCAATTGAATTAAATTGGGCGGTTATGGAATATTGATTGACAATTAGTTGGGGACTTTGGGAATGGGAAGTACCTAAGATTATGGGAATAAAAAGGGCAATAAGACAATACGATGAAATCACTCTTATATATGGACAGAATTTACACAGAAAAGAAGATATTCGAATAAGAAATTTAAATACTTGACCGGTATTCGGAAAGCGTATTCCAAAGAAGACCCAATAATTTAATAATTTTTTAAGCAAATTCACTTGGGCGCCATATATCATCATCTCACTCTTTTACACATTCGTTCTGAACACAGTACCCCGTAAAAAAACATGAGTGTGTGTGGGTGTCTATTATATAATCATATTAATTAATTAATAATTTATTTATGTTTTTTACGTTGCCAAAGTTTGTCGTTTTTTTTTGTTACGCCTTTTTTCTTCCGCCCATTTGCCTCCCACTCGACGTTGAAACTGTTTCAAGTTCAGTTATATATTATATGCCAAAGCTTGTATGTCATTGTTTTCTTTTTTTTATTGTCTCGATAATTTGTAAATTGTTTAAGTAAATGGTGGGGGTAGGACGTTGAGAAAAAATACAATACCTTAACACACTTATTTAAACATGTGCACATACAACAACGCGAAATGTATTTCAAGTGAAATATACCCTCAAACATTTACAGATAGTTGACAACTGTGGCGTGATGATGTATATCCCTTTCTTCTTTTTCTTTGTTTGGCGTGAAATGTTAACTCAACTAGATCTCGACTCATGATCGGTGTAGATATAAGATTCATCAGTTAAAATTTATTTTAGGTTTTAATACTCCAAAATATGGACTCTTTTTAAATGCAAATTTGTTGATATTAAAATTTTTTCAATTATTTATGAAAATATAACTTAGATTATTTAAGATTTAATATTGTTATAATCTATAGATGTCTTATAAAGAACATTTTATTTAAAAATTAAGATACATTAAGATCAAGCATATCTATGTAAAGGTTCTATGTAAAAGGTGTTTTTTTTTGAAAATATATATCATTAGGATTTTTAAAATATATTTTTAAGGGTCTATCAATAAGCGTAAAGCGTGGATTTTTAATTTTTATTTTAAATGATCCTTCCCTGAGTGTGGATTTTTAAAATTTATTTTTAAAGGTCCTTCAATGAGTGCGGAATTTTAAAATTTAATTTTTAAAAATCCCTGTAAGAGCGGTTAGTTTTAAAGTTTAATTTTAACTTTAATGTGCGTGGATTTTTAAAATTTATTTTTTAAAGGTTCCTCAAAGTACGAGTATTTTTAAAATTTAATTTTCAAAGGTCCATCAATAAGCTTGGATTTTTAAAATTTATTTTTTAAAGGTCCATCGCTGAGTGTGGGTTTTTAAAATATATTTTTTAAGGGTCCACCAATGAACGTGGATTTTTAAAATATATTTTTTAAGGGTCCACCAATGAACGTGCATTTCTAAAATATATTTTTTAAGGGTCCACCAATGAGCGTGGATTTTTAAAATATATTTTTAAGGGTCCACCAATGAGCGTGGATTTTTAAAATATATTTTTTAAGGGTCCACCAATGAGCGTGGATTTTTAAAATATATTTTTTAAGGGTCCACCAATGAGCGTGGATTTTTAAAATATATTTTTTAAGGGTCCACCAATGAGCGTGGATTTTTAAAATATATTTTTTAAGGGTCCACCAATGAGCGTGGATTTTTAAAATATATTTTTTAAGGGTCCACCAATGAGCGTGGATTTTTAAAATATATTTTTTAAGGGTCCACCAATGAGCGTGGATTTTTAAAATATATTTTTTAAGGGTCCACCAATGAGCGTGGATTTTTAAAATATATTTTTAAGGGTCCACCAATGAGCGTGGATTTTTAAAATATATTTTTTAAGGGTCCACCAATGAGCGTGGATTTTTAAAATATATTTTTTAAGGGTCCACCAATGAGCGTGGATTTTTAAAATATATTTTTTAAGGGTCCACCAATGAGCGTGGATTTATCAGATGTTATTTTTAAAGGTCCTTCATTGAACGAGGAGTTTTAAAATTTATTTTTTAAAGATTCAACAATGAGCGTGGATTTATAAGATGTTATTTTTAAAGGTCCTTCATTGAACGAGGAGTTTTAAAATTTATTTTTAAAGGTCCTTCAATGAGGGTGGATTTCAAAACTTTATATTTTAAAGGTCCTTCAATCGCGTGGTTTTTTAAAATATATTTTCTAAGGTCCATCGTGGATTTTCGTCAGCCAGCTGTTAAAATTATTCCAGTGACAGCTCATATAGTTACAAGCGTACAAAAGCATTTTGGTGAGAATTTTCCAGAAAAAAAAGTTATTCGTGATGGAATTCAAACGTGATAGAGTGATTTCTTTATATTTGGCTGGAAAACCACAAGTGGCTATCGTTAGACCACTCCAGCATTTAAATGTGAATAAATCTTTTGTGTCTCGTACCATCGCTCGTTGCCTTGATACTGGCAGCGTAGCCCGACGTCAAGGAAGTGGACGGAAGAAAACGGCAACATCAGCAGAAATGGTTCGAAAAGTAAAGAAGCGACTTGATCGAAAACCGCGTCGCCGTGACCGCAAAAATGGCTCGTGAGCTGAACAAATCGCTATATTCCAATCGGCGAATATTGAAAAATGATCTCGGGGTAAAGCCATTGAAATTCCAAAAAGGACAAGAACTTACACCGCAACAGAAAGAAAATAGACTCAAAAGAGCTAAAGAGCGAATTTGTTTATCTCCGATGAGAAAGCATTCGTTGTCCAGCAGTTTGTAAACAAACAAAATGATCGTGTTTACTTGCCAAAGAGATCAGCTGAAAATGTGCACCTTCGATTGGCCACCAAAACCCAAGCGTCGGCCATGGTGATGGTGTGGGCTGCCATAACAGCCGATGGTCGCTCTCCGCTCGTATAAATCGATCGTGGCATCAGAATAAATGACGAATATTACGCGAAAATATTCTGAAGGGTGTATAAAAGCCTTGGGCACACAAACATTTTGGCCGCTGACCTTGTACATTCCAACTCACCTGGACTCAGCACCATCGCACTCTGCACGCGCCACCCAAGAATGGCTACAAAATGAGGTTCCTCGCTTCAATTTCAGCGCACAATGGCCACCAAAATCTCCGGATACCAATCCGTTGCACTAATGTGTCTGGAATATTTTGAAAAGCAAGGTTGGCACTAAGAAATACCAAAGTGTCGATCAAGCAAGCGCTTCGCCGGAGCAACATTCGGGCAGCATGTGACGGTTTCATTGGCCATAATTCGTGCCGAAGGTTATCAATTCGAACAAATCTAAACTTATTCTAAAATTTGATTCTATTTCCGACATTTTTTGCTTTCGTTCAATAAAATTTAAACAATGTAAAAATTATGGCGTTTGACTTTGTTGCAGTTTTTTTTATCTTACCCTGTATATCGGAAACCTTCAATGAACCCATATCCCTTCTAAACCGACTCTAATATACAATGGCATTTACTTTAATTTTAGCGCCTTTAACAAATACATAATTACAGTCCAGCAATCCAAGACCATCTGCCATTTATCATTAATTATTTCTTAGAAATTCTTAACTTTTGTATTACGAACTTATGTACTTAGCCTCTTTTGTATTTATCTCCCCGTGCACTTTGTGCAGTGAATGGCCACTGTTACGTCTCCGATTAACCAATGACATATATTTTTAAGTACTACATTTTTTATTTGTGTTTGTTTATTTTTTAATAATAGCAGATTTCGCTTTTATTTCAAATGAACATTTCCTAATCGCATGAACATAACAACAATAATAACAACAAAAACAGCAGCAACTTTTGTAACAAAAGCCAAAACACAATTATCTATTAAATCGTTTTAATGAATGGCTGAATGACAGAAACTGACAGATTATAAAGGCAGACAGAGCAAACAACGGGGTCTTGTTACTATCTGAGCGAATGGTACCGGTTCCCTCTCTCTCTCTCTCTCTGATCTTTGAGTACACGACGACTTGACAAGTCATTAGTAAAGTGGCGTTTAATTTTTAGACTTTGGGTTTTGCTTGGATTTAATAATTGCTGTTTTAATAAATGAAATGTGGATCCCAGATTTTGAATATAAAGACCCAAGAATATTAGACTAATTAATATAAGGTTATAGGCATAATCAATTTTGTTTATATAAATAAAAAATCTGACTGTCATCTCTACCCTCTCCCCATAGCCCCCTTTAATGTCATACTTCTCTCTATCGCACTCTTGTGGCCCATGTCTTGTTTCCTACGTTTGTAAACATGTCTACATTGTTAACACATACATCATGTTAATTAATTTTTTTATGTATTTGTTGTTGTTGTCTAATTGCTTATTTCTTGTTTTTTTTTTATAATTTCAGGTCTGAAAAACAACACATGAAAATACCACGTGATATTCAAGATGCCAAAATGTTGGCCAAAGTCTTAGATCGCTACAAGGATATGTACTATTTCGAAGTGATGTTCGGTGTGGTCGTCGCCTATATATTGTATCCTTTTCAAAATGAAAAAAAATATATATATATATATTTTAAAGATCATTTGAAGGTATGTAAGTTGAATCAATGTTGCCGAACTTTGAACATCTGAAGAAAAAGTTGCAAACGGTAAGGAGATTTTAGGAAGGGGATATTCTTTAAAATTTATCCAAGCCTATATAATTTTCAATATTTAAATTTATTAAAAAAACTGGATAATTGTAAAAATGTATCTATAAACCGGGAATTTTGAAAATTTATTAGAAATTTGGATAGTTTTTAAATTTATCCACCAAAGTGGAGAATTTGATTGAAATGTTCCATTTACAAACAAAAGACTAGCTATCATTTAGAGTAGTTTATAGGAGCCCATAATATAGGCTCTTTTATAGACAAACTTGTTGATGTTAAATATTTATAATAATCCGTTCTTATTTAAAGCTAATTGACCTGGAATCAACTGGAGTGGACCTGCATAGGCAACTTTTGTCATAAGCCATTACAATATTCAAATGCGATACTTGAAACAAAAATTGGTGAATAATGTAGCTAAAATCATCATAATACTGAATATAGGAAGGTACCATTATATGGGGTATAGCCCCAAAACGTGGAGCTACACAGACAATTTTCTGCCTTAGGCTGTAGTATCCATTACGAACTTCAAATACCAAATTTGAAACAATTCCGGTGAATAATGACGCGAAAATAATCAAAATATCGAATATCGGGAGGTACCGTTATTTGGAGGCTATACGATGACGTGGACCATCACAGACAATTTTCTATCTTAGGCTGTATTATCCATTACGAACTTCAAATACCAAATTTAAAACAATTCTGGTGAATAATGTCGCTTAAATGACCAAAATACCGAAAATAGGAAGGTCGCATTATATGAGGGCTACACCATAATGTGGACCTACATGGCCCATTTTCAATACCAAAACTCCTGCAGACATAATATACATTTGAGTAAAATTTTATCAACCTACTTCCGAACCTACTTCCGAAGCTAGAGTGATTTCCACAGACGGGCGGTCCTCGCGAAATCGACATAGAATTTTATGCTGATCAAGAATATATATATACTTTGTGGGGTCTAAAATGTATATTTCGAGATGTTACAAACGGAATGACAAACTTAATATGCCCTCCATACTATGGTGCGGGGTATGAAAATATCCTACAACAGGGATATTTGTTTCTTTATTTATCCTCAAAAATATTTACTTGATTACTTTCCAACCCTACCCTTTCCTATATTTCTGGAATATATTTTATCAATTTCCTCTCAAAGCGTATTAACATATGTTTACAACGAACTGAACTCACCTTTGATCATAACCCTGAAATGACAAGTTCAAACGTGACGCGATTACCAGATAAGGAAACACTTTTTCGGTGGGCCACAATACAACTCACCCCACCCTACCATAAAAGCTGGTCTGGCGGTGGCTTCCATATCGGTTGTTATTTATTTACTATCAACACTCACTTGTTGTCAATGAAATCAATAAACAATTTTACCATATGCATAGCTACCCCTCCTCCCCCTCAAAATCTCTCTCTCACTCTTTGTTCACTTTAAGTAAGAACTTTACATAAAACTTTGATTACGATAAGAATTGTTCAGTATTTTGCTTTGTCATTACTTGCCAAGTTATTTATTTAAAATGATTTAAAGTCTTCTTTTCGGAATATTAAATTAACCTTGATCTCTTTTTTTGCGGCTAGTGTAAATGTAGATTTGCACGGGTGCGTGTACGGCTAACTTGGGTAGCAGTAATTCAATTATGTTCGCATAGCACGTTGACTGACGTCAATTAGATGAGCGAAGTGAGTAGTTGGAAACGCGTAATATCTGCTCATGAGAGTGTTATAGAGTGGGAGGGTGTGGGAGTGAGGATAGTATTACAATTATGTACTTACTTTGTTATTGTATGTCTTCACCCACAACATATAGTCTCTCTCCCCCATATTTTACTTACGCCGACTCTCTCTCTCTCCCTATAACTCACCGTTATTGGTGTCTTTGCTGATAGTTGTGTTTATTAGGCACAATTAAAGCGGCGGGCGTTTTTCGGTAATACAATAAATATTTGGAAGATGTATTGCTTTGTGAAAAACTTAAAATAGTGGATGCGATCGTAGTACCGTACCATAAAATGCGTAAGAGAAAATGTTGATGTCTTTAGCCAGAAAATATCTCTTCATTCTCCTTTTCTCTGGCACGCAATTCTGTTTTTCTATTTGTTTGGATTAAGACGCACAATGCGACGGACGTTTCTTCCTATCAATTCAATGACGTATAAAGAACTCGGATCACCTAATGACACATAAAAAGATGTTTTGCCAATTTTCTTTTAATAAAACGTAATTAATACAATTTTTTATTTACTTTTAGGCAACGCATTAATTACCAGAACTTGATAATTTCTAATCATAAACCAAAAACTAAGGAACTAGAAAATTTTCAACAAATTCCGAAAAATATCGTTCAAATGATGAGCTTTATAAAGTTGTATGGAGGCTGTACGAAGACGTGGAACTGCATACGTTTTTTGGCATAGGCTCAAACTTTGATTGAAATGTTATGAGATGCAAACTTTGTACTCAAGCGATTAGACTATTCGAGAGTTGTCTTATACACCTACCGGCCAAATAAATCTACGAACATAGCAGGAACGCCTAAGAATGTCTTGAATAGGATATAAAATATTATTTCAGAAATTCATTTCGGAACCATTTCGAGGAGTCCTTCTAGCAAAAAATGTATGCTCTCCTAAGATGTTGCTACCGCCGCTAAATGCTAAATGAATTATGTGTCAATGTCTTGACCCACCAAATATTTTTTACTTTCGTTCTCCTTCAATTATTCTCGGCTAGAAAAGCCTTTGTTTGGATGATGTTATTTCAGTAATTTTATTATTTTAATATGCATTATGATTTTTTTAGACAATGCATTTTGAATCGGATCGTTGTCAATAGCCAAAATATTTATCTGCTATTTTATGCAGCTTGAATTCAATAACATTTACCTAATGTCCATTCAAAATAGAGAAACAACGCATAGTTAATTGGATTTCTCAGCGAAAATTTACTCAAGACCTAATGACGCCGCCGCCGCCACCGTTGTCTGTCGCCTTTCAGTGAAGCGTAACATTTGCGTTCTATTTTGAGTATATCAAAAATAATATCACACAATTCCATTGTCTTTTTTTGTCTACGTCTAATTGCAGGCAGACAGCCTGCCAGCTTTAGAAGCTACACCACACTCATCGATCACCTGATTAGAACACAAGAAACTTGTTTCCTTATATTTTTCCAATTTTTTGTTTTGCTACCGATCACAGATGATTCATTCAAAATCAATGGGGTTTTCAGAATGCTAGCTAGTATTTTTCTTCAGTCTTATCATCTAGACATTGTAGTGGGTGCAAGAGGCAATGAACATCCAGCCCATCGTTGAGATGCCACACTTTTCATCATCTCCTCCCCCTCCACTTTTTTTCTTTATTTTAATAATGTTTGTGTTAATAATTTGCAAATTTTAATTTTTTTTAAATTAATTTGATAATGCAAACAAACAATGTATTTTCGATTATTAAATTTATTTGATGATGTTCTTTAGAGTGCTAGAGACTTAATTCGTTTGAAATTTTTAAAAGCAAATTAAATTTAAAGGTCAATAACCGGCTTTTTTTCTGTGACCAATTGGAATTAAAGAAAAAAAGAATGTTCAAAAATATTCAGATTAAAATGTATGTACATAATATTTAATGTGATAAGAAATGATTATTTATAGTTTAAAATATACAGGGTGAGATAAAAAAAACTGTAACAAAGTCAAACGTAATAATTTTTACATTTTTTTTAATTTTATTGAATGAGAGCAGAAAATTTCGGAGATAGCAAAAAATTTTAGAATAAGTTTAGATTTGTTTGAATTCGTCACCTTTGGCACGAATTATGGACTTCAAACGGCCAATGAAACCGTCAAACGCTGCCCGAAGGTTGCCCTGTTGTATTTTGGCCCATTCCCGACGAAGCGCTTGCTTGAGGTGATCGACACTTTGGTATTTTTTAGTGCCAACCTTGCTTTCCATCGAATTTCAGTGTTGGTGGGATAAGCTCAGAGTAGGATTGCTCGATCGTTTTCATTTCTTCTTTAATTTCCCGGAGCTTGTAACATTCCATATCGCTTTTGTGGTCCATTTGGTGGGCTTTATACACGCCTACTGTAATTTTTAGGTCAGACTTGGTTACAAAGAAATATTTATAGGAGTAAAGTGTGACCACTCTGCCAAGACAGGGAATTTTCCAAGTCTGTAAGGGTATTTAAAGATTTTAAAAGTAAACTCTTGTACCACTGCTGTTTTGTGGATTCAAAAGCTATTAAGAGGGACCTGTCGCCCTCATCGCCACCCAAGCAGAGAGAGAGAGAGAATTGGTTACCTTTTGCACGAATTATGGCCTTCAAACGGCCAATGAAACCGTCACACGTTGCCCGAATTTTGCTCTGCGGTATTTTGGCGCATTCGAAGGGCGAAGCGCTTGCTTAAGATGATCGACACTTTGGCATTTTTAAGTGCCAACCTTGCTTTCCAAAATACTCCAGACACAATAGTCCAACGGATTGGTATCCGGAGATTTTGGTGGCCATTGTCCGCTGGAAATGAAGCGAGGAACCTGTAACCATTCTTGGGTGGTGCGTGCTGAGTGCGATGGTGCTGAGTCCTGTCGGCCAAAATGATTGCATGCCCAAGGTTTTACTGCACCCTTCAGAATATTTTCGCAATATTCGGCACTTTTTCTGATGTCACGGTCGATTGATAGGAGCGGAGACCGACCTATGGCGGCCCACACCACCACCATGACCGGCGCTTGAATTCTGGTGGCCAATCGGAGGTGCACATTTTCAGCTGACCTCTTTGAACACGATAATTTGGTTTGTTTACAAACTCCTGGACAACGAATGTTTTCTCATCGGAGAAAACAAAATTCGGCAATTCACCCCTATCTGCCAAGCGAAGCAAGTCTTTAGCTCTTTTGAGTCTATTATTCTTCAATATTTGCCGAATGGAATATTGCGATATGTTCAGCTCACGAGCCGTTTTACGGCCACTGCGACGCGGGTTTGTGATCTGTGTATTTTGAAGACAATCGGACTCTTACATCACATTTTATAAGAGTTATAATTATTAAAAATGTTGACCCTTTGTGGGGGAGGTACATGATGGAGTGGACAGATATTATCCATTTTCGCACCTGACTTAGCACTGATGCAAATTTTAGGATTTAGGAGCAAAATCAGACCTATCCTCTTCTCTCTTTCTGTGCAGTAAAATATATATATTTTTTTTTTTGAAAATTGCCACCTTTTGTGGCGGATGTACTAGAAGGAGGGGACTGATATTGCCCATCCCCGAACACGATCTAAAGTTTGATAATAGTAGTACAATGTACCAAGTTTGGACTAAATCGGATACACCCTTCGAGAGTTATCGTGCGCAGCAGCCAGCCAGACAGACAGAGGGGCGGAAGGACGAACATCGCTAGATCGACTCCAAAATTTCCTGAAACGGATTTGGTCCAAAGAGGCCTAGAGTTTATTTCGTTGAGGCACGTTATGGCCGTATCAAATGATTATACCCTCTCCTAGCCATATGGCGGAGGGTATTAAAAAACAAATGTGACCAAATGGAATTGAAGGAAAAGTATCTAATTAGAAATGCTCAAATATGCAAATTTAAAGTTATATGCTGAATATTTACTGATAAGAAACAAATTTTTATAGTTTAAATTTATACGACAAAACCCCACCTATCATAACCCCCAGATTATTGAACGAAGTCATTTTTTGCAATTTCTCAAAACTTCAGTTCATTCCCTAAATTTGTATAAAAATCTCATTAATTCCCTGAATATTTTTTCATCACAACACCCAATGACTCTCAATTAAAAATGCCATATAAAAAATCGAATTGATAATCTGTAAATACAAAACAAAAAAAAAAAACCTGACCAATTTCGCAATTTCTGTGGAATTCATCACCCCTCCGAAAAATAATTGCACTTGAAATAATATATAAAAATGTATATTATTCCGTTTATTGTTGTCTGACCAATTGACTGACTGACTGTTCTGCTCTGTTGTTACTAAGAGCTATAATTATGGACCTGTTCGTGACAATGGTTTAATTGGAAATAAATCTATGGGGGTATGTGTGTCTAGAAGTAGAATACGTAAGATCTACATATATGCGAATGTTGTATTCGTCTTTTGTTTGTTTGTTTTATTGAGGTATTCCATGGAATATATATTATCTGTTTTAGAGACTAAGAAGCGCATTTGCATTGCTCGATGATATTATCAATTATTTCCTTATGAGAATTTTTAAGAGATTTAGATGTCTAATGGAATATGGGGGGTGGATTGAAAAGTACAAGATTGATTTATTATCTTGAAGAAAATTGATAGATATCAGTGAACCATATTTTTATGTAGTCCTCGTCTCATATATCTTTGGGTCCATTATGAAAATGGCATTAAAAGAAAAAATATAGGAATATATCAGTTGTGTTACCAGCTAGATATATAAACTCAGCATAAGGCCGCCTATTTCAAAAAAAATTTATTGTGTGACACAAAAAATAAAGAATAACAAATTTCTCAAAAACCTTTCTAATTTTTACCGATTTCTGAATTTTTAATAAGAGCTGAAATTTTAATAAGAGAAAATAACCCTGAAGACCCCACTACCCAAATATATTGAGGATGACATTACATACCTAAAATGCATAGCTTCAGAAAAAACCTAACTCAAACATTTAAATTGAATTGAAAAATTCATCATGGCGAGCGTTTCTGTTCGAATTGATACGATTATGAATAAAGTTAGGTCAAAACTATACCTAATTTGTTTAAGCGTCCATTATCTACCAGGGATCGGGGAGGGACTCTTCCGATACGAACACTTCCTTTTTTAACATTTAAGTTAAAATCTAAGTCTTTCAGGTCCTTTATGTTAGGTCTCGGCCAAGGGGATCAATCTATCATGTGATGATTCAGAGACCTCCCAAGGAAACTCCCGATCATGCAAAGGAAACGTGAAATTATACCTATGTGAGAGAAAGGTTTTCGTCTCCTCATCTGGTGCTGATTCAGTTATGCGGCTTCATAACTCAGGAATGCGTCTCTACGGAGTAGCGTTAATATTGAAAGTCTAACTATAGCTTTACCGAAGGTCAGAAAGGTCCCCTCGTCTGCATCCAACGTGCTGCCGTGTATTAAACGAGTCCAGCTTGAACTTCTAATACCCTTCAGGAAAAAAAGGAAAGTATCTGGATTCAAACGTGTTCCACTTTAAACTTCAAATATCAGTGAGATCGGTTGAAGAACGCAGTTAAATGTGGTGCCATTACATGGAAACCTTGGATGAATATGGACAATGTTTGAAACATATCTGATAAATAATTGGCTTAAATCGTCAAAATACAGAATATCCAAAGAACTGTTATATGGATGCTAAAGTAAAACGTGAATCTATAACCGCAGAAGGTAAAGCCTGTAACAAACTCTCAATACCAAATTTGGAAAAATGGGGCTAAAATCACCAAAACACCGATTATCAGGAGGCGATATAAGAAAAGGTGGACTCATTTCAATTCCAACCATCCTAGTACAAACTATTGTGTCAAATTCCAAAGCCCTACGTCAAATAATATAAACGGACATCGTTAAATCGCCGTAAAATGTCATGCTGATCATGAATATATATTCTTTTTTGAGTCTGCGACGGATACTTAGAGGTATTACAAACGGAATGACAAATTTAATATACCCTCCTTTCAAAGGTCAAGTGTATAAAAATGGCAGAAAGTACCCCGGTCCCACTGGCTATTAAGCTGTATTAGCATGTGTTACTATAATCCCATTTTGGCAGTAGTCTTAGAACTGAGTTGGACCGGAAACGAGTCTTGAAATTTACCTACTCCATTGGATGTGTTGGATGACTATTTAATACAAATAACAGAACCAAGATTTCTGGCTTTTTGTTTGATACCTACACGGTCAGAAAACACTTTATAATATTGCGGACCCAAGGTAGATAAGCAAAAACGCTGAGATATATTTAGACCAACATGACAGCCAAAACTGAGGCGTTGATTCGGGCCAGTCATATATTTTAAACCCAACTCTTGCAGGAACGCTTTGTATTTATAGTTTTAGCTAAGGACACTGTTCTGGGTCGTAAAAATTAATTCTCTCCGAATCGTAATCCCGACAGAATTTTCGAGTTAGGAGCCGTTCAGAATATCAGTTTTCCATTAAATGCAATATTTTGTAACAGGTTTTGCCAAAACTCCTCGAACATCCATAGATTTTAGGTATTCCTATCCCGCAACATTGATCTCATTACGCTTTTAAATGGTCTTTTAAAAATATTTTTCATTTTAATTATCATTTTTAATATTACAGCTTCAAAAAAAATAGTTTTTCCTTAACTCCGAAACTCGATGAAAATTTCCTCTCTCCCTTTACAGCCTACAAACATTTGCCATTCCAGGATCATTATTTCTCTCAATCTTGCTGGGATTCCTGTATCGTTTCCCGATTGCCCTGTTTCTCATCTGTTTCTGTTCCTCGTTGGGTGCCACGCTATGCTATAGCCTTTCAAACCTGGTAGGACGTCGTTTGATACGCCACTTCTGGCCCAAGAAGATCAGTGAATGGTCCAAACATGTGGACAAACATCGTGACAGCCTATTCAACTACATGCTTTTCTTGCGTATGACACCCATACTACCGAATTGGTTTATCAATTTGGCATCGCCCGTGATTGGAGTGCCATTGTTTACATTTGCTTTTGGTACATTTTGCGGGGTCGCGCCACCCTCAGTGCTGGCCATACAGGCGGGTAAAACTCTACAAAAGATGACCAGTTCCAGTGATGCATTCTCATGGACATCGATGGGCATATTGTCGCTGTGTGCCTGTCTATCGTTGGTGCCGGGCCTGCTCAAGAATAAACTGAAAAAGAAAGTTGAATAAAAAGCCAATTTGGAAGATGATTGGAACACAGCAAGCATCATGCTCTTCTTTTTGGGCATGGCATTGGGATTGTGCCGAGAAAACAGCAAACAAAAGAATTGGTTTTAAGTTTTAAGAAGACATTGTAGAAAAGCTAAAGGAGTGCTAATATTTATATGTATATTTTTTTGCTTTGTTTCCCACACATCCTCAATATTTTTTTTCAAATAAATTGGTATTGTGTTAGCCCAAAAATTAATTAAAAAATAATTCAAAAATTTTTCTGTTAAATATAAGCTATTTTGAACTACAAAATTTGTATTTGCCAGCCAAGTTTTATTTTGTTGAACAACTTTTTTAACTTTTAAATTTAATTATTGTAACAATGTTTCAAATTAAAATCTCTAAATCAATAATTTCCCATTTTTCAATTATTTCTTGTTCAACATTGTGGAACTTGGGAGGTTATTTCAGTCTGTTTGTGTAAAATTCAAAAATAATGTTTAAAAGTATGTAATTCATGTTTGTCTGGATTTGTTTAAAGAGGCCCCTTGTCTGTATGACGATATGGATGTGTATGCTAAGGATAAACACCATTCCGAATGAGATTTTTAAGTCTTATATATATGGCCCGTTCTTCTATGACGGTACCAAAGTAAACTCGAAAGTACAACATCCATACCTTGAATGTTTTTTAAATTTTTTATTTTTTTTTTCAGTTTAAAAAATAAGAATTGAAAATTTCAAAACCATCCAAATGTGCTTTCAAGTCTTATCTTTATGTCCTGTTCTTCTACGACGGTACTAAAGTGAACTCGAAAGTACAACGCCCATACCTTGAATATTTTTCAAATTTTGAAATTTTTTTTAATTTAAAAAATACGGTTGGAATTTTTTTCGAATTCACTTTTGTATCGTCATAGAGGAACAGGCCCTTAAGTTTAAAAAAATCCAAAAATTTTAAGACCTTCCAAATTTGCTCTTTTTGTTTAATATCTTTGGCCTGTTCTTCTATGACGATACTTGAGTCATCTCGAAAGTACAACACTAAAATACCTTAAATCAACATCCTCAATATTTTTTCGATATTGTGTTTGCCCATAAATTAATAAAATAATTTAAAAATCATTTTTTAAATTTAAGTTATTTTGAATTACAAAATTTGTATTTGCCTCCCAAGTTTTATTTTGTTGAACAACTTTTTTAACTTTTAAATTTAATTATTGTAACAATGTTTCAAATTAAAATCTCTAAATCAATAATTTCCCATTTTTCAATTATTTCTTGTTCAACATTGTGGAACTTGGGGGGTTATTTCAGTCTGTTTGTGTAAAATTCAAAAATAATGTTGAAAAGTATGTCAGGATTTTTTTAAAGAGGCCCCCTGCCTGCATGACGATATGGAAGTATATGCTAAGGATAACCACCATTCCGAATGAGATTTTTAAGTCTTATATTTATGGCCCGTTCTTCTATGACGGTACTAAAGTAAACTCGAAAGTACAACACCCATTCCTTGAATGTTTTTCAAATTTTTTATTTTTTTTTTTCAATTTAAAAAATAAGGATGCAAAATCTAAAAATTTCAAAACCATCCAAATGTGCTTCTTCAAGTCTTATCTTTATGGCCTGTTCTTCTACGACGGTACTAAAGTGAACTCGAAAGTACAACGCCCATACCTTGAATATTTTTCAAATTTTAGCATTTTTTTAATTTAAAAAATACGGTTGGAATTTTTTTCGAATTCACTTTTGTATCGTCATAGAGGAACAGGCCCTTAAGTTTAAAAAAATCCAAAAATTTGAAAGCCTTCCAAATTTGCTCTTTTTGTTTAATATCTTTGGCCTGTTCTTCTATGACGATACTCGAGTCATCTCGAAAGTACAACACTAATATACCTCAATTCAAATTTTTGAATTTTTATATTTTACGCCACAAGGTGGTCAGGGTATTATGTCTTTGTGCATTTGTTTGTAACAAGCAAAAGGAAACGAGATAGACCCATAGATCCTTTTGATGATATGCATAGAATCACATTCTGAGTCGATTTATGCATGTCCGCCCGTCCGTCTGTCCATGTATTTTTGTAAACAAAGTATAGGTCGCATTTATTTCCTGATCCAGATGAACTTTTGCACAAATCATTTGTTTGGCCCAAGGACGAACCCTATTGAAATTGGAGATAATCGGTCAAAATTTAGACTTTGCTCCGATATATATTTTCGTCCGATTTGCCTTTTTTGTGCAAAAAATGTGTGATAACAGCCCAAATAGTATGGAATTTTTTCACATACGACCAAATTAGGCCTGAAAATAAGTATGCAAAATTTGATCGAAATCGGTTCAGATATAGCCATATATATCTCATATATATTGTTCATCCGATTCGTTATATTTGTCCTCCGCAGCCGTAATATGCACTCTGTAACAACAATATTTGGGGAGATATACCAAGTAGAGCTCAGAAATACCTATGCTAAATTTTATCGAGATCGGTTCAGATTTGGATATAAATCCCATATATAACTTCGTCCGATTTGCCTTTTATTGTGCACCAAACGTGTAATATTATCCCAAATGGGATGGAATTTGCCACTTACAACCGAATTGAGTCTAGAAGCTAGTATGTCAAATTTTGTGAAAATCGGTTCAGATATAGCTATAGCTCCCATATATATTGTTCATCCGATTTGTTATATTTGTTCCCCACAGCCGTAATATGCACTCCGTAACAACTATATTGAGGGAAATATATCAAATACAGCCCAGAAATACATGTGCCAAATTTCATCGAGATCGGTTCAGATTTGGATATAGCTCCCATATATAACTTCGTCCGATTTACCTTTTATTGTGCACCAAACGTTTAATATCAGCGCAAATGGTATGGAATTTGGCACTTACGATCGAATTGAGTCTAGAAGCTAGTATGTTAAATTTGGTGAAAATCGGTTTAGATATTGCTATAGCTCCCATATATATTGTTCATCCGATTTGTTATTTTTATCCTCCGCAGCCGTAATATGCACTCTGTAACAACAATATTTGGGGAAATATATCAAATGCAGCTCAGAAATATCTTTGCCAAAATTTATCAAAATTGGTTCAGATTTGGATATAGCTTCCATATATATCTTTATCCGATTTCAAGTTAATTGCACACCAAATGGGCTATACAAGCCCGAATTGAAAAGATACAAATGCTTGGCATATTTAGTCCTTTGAACTTTAAATTATAATTACAATAATCATAGCTTGTATGATTTAATTCTCCCATTAAAAATTTTAATTGTTATGTGAAGCGCTTTACTAAATATGCAAAGTGGTGTAGGGTATCAGAAAGTCGTCCCCGACCGATTTTAAGACTTTCTTTACTGGTTTTAATTTCAAAAATAGGAATGGAATTTTATTTGGAGTTCACTTTTGTATCGTCATAGGGGAACAAAACCTAAAGTTTAAAAAAAAATCTTAAAAATTTGAAAAACCTTTTTCACTTTTGTATTGTCATAGAGAAACAGACCCCAAATATTTTTGTAAAAACTATTTGAATAACTTGTATTGTTTTGAATTTTCCATAAAGCAGACTGTTAAATTCGAATACACATTCTTTAAATTAAAAAAACTGTTTTAAATTAAAAAACTGTTTTAATTTTCCCAAAAACAAAAAAGATAAAACACCAACCAAGTAACCACCCACACAAAGCTGAATTCCAAATGTAAACCTATCCTCTATATATATATTTTTTAATTTTTAATTATAATTTATAATGTTTTATATATATAAATATTGATATATATTTAAAGACCATTACGATTTTGTGTACATTTTTTTATGTATTAGCCAATTAATTTCAATTGTGTGCATTGAATATTTTGTGTCCCATTTCTCCCTTTCCAAATAAACCCTAAATTTTGTCCTTATGTTTAACTTTTTTCCACATGCAATTGAACTTTAGTTGATAAGCATTCGTTTTTTTTTGTTTTATTTTTATTATTCTTAAATTACTATTAAGAGTAGCTTTAGATGATATTTTTAAGAATTTTTGTTGTTTCAAATCAACAGTATTTTATTAAGAATTTTAAAATAATTTTAGATAAATTTTAGTCCAAAAAATCAATGAATTATTTAAATAATTATTTTCGAAAATTTGGTTCCAAAAAAAAAGTTTTTTGCCTAATTTTATTTAGTTTTTTTTAGTTATTTGGAAATTTTTTTTAGTTTAAAAATACGTACTTTAGTTAGTTGAGCAAAATATACGAATGTATTGTACCTTTTTCAATTCGTTGCAATAAATTGAATACATTGCTTGTGTCCAAGAAGGAATTTTCTTTATTTTTCCCTATTTTTTTGTAATATATTCTTTACAATAGGATGGAGTGTAATTTCTTGGGTTTTTTCGATTTGTAACAAAGTAAGATTGAACGATTCCCCAGAGAGCCCATTAAATATAATCCCAGCAAAATATTTAATGGTACAAGTCATATGAATTGGTGTTTTTATGGGCCTTGTCCTTCTTCCTATTACAAGAGAGTGGCATGAAAAAAATCCAAGCCTTTTTGTACGTTCAGCCATATGGCTACAGAGGGTATATATCATTTGATACGGCCAAAACATGCCCCATCGAAATAGCGATTTTAGACCTTAGGTCTCTTAGGGCCGAATCCGTTTCAGGACATTTGGAGTCGATCTAGAGATATCCGTCTGTCTGTCTGGCTGGCTGGTGAGCACGATAACTCTCGTAGGGAGCATCCGATTTGGTCCAAACTTGGTGCATCGTAATATTATTGTCAAACTTAGATCGAGTCCGCTTTTTCTACACAATAGCTGGACATTTTCAAAAAAAAAAAAGAAAGAAATGATAATTCGATTTTGCTCCAACTTTGTAAATCCTAATATTTGCATAGGTGCTAGGATGAATATGGAATTTATGATTTCGCATAAAACCGGATATAAAAGTTCGATTTTCTTGTAATTTTGCCTATAACCATATTTTTATATGTATGAAAATGGAATACTTCGGTCCACTATATCTATGCGTGAGGTACTGCACATT